CGCTCACTCTCTCTCGCTCCCTCTCGTTTACAAAGGGGGTAGGTGTTTGTTTTCCAGCCAGGAGGAGACTACTCCCTAGAACCCAAGCGTGCTGGCTCCCCAGTCTCAGACTTTCAGCCTCCAGAACTGTGAGAAAATGAATTTTTGCTGTTTAAGTCACCCAGGCTGCGGTATCAGCCTGAGTTGACTAAGACATTCATTTTTGTGAATGATCTGTTAAGGGAGCTGAATCTAGCAAATGCATGAACTCCTGGGAAGGCATTGCTCTTTATAAAAGCATTCATTTGCGGCATAAAACACAGCTGCATGCAAGCCCAGGCAAGGCCGACGGGGTGCCCCGTGCAGGCTGAACATTCTGCTGCAGAGTTGTCTGTAATTACTCGCTCACGACCGGCGCCCAGGGCTTCTGTTTCCAGTCATGACCTGCAAGGAAACAGCAGAGGTCCGGCTGGGTCTGGCAGCCCTGCCACGGTCCTGTAAGGCAGCCAGGTAAGGCCCCACCTGGACCCTCTCACCTGTACAGCTCCCTCGATCCCAGACCCCTTCCCTGGCTGACTCCATCCTTGGGGCTGTAGGCCCTAAGTCTGGTCATGTCCCTGGACTCTTTTCCATGGCCTTGGCATTGGATCTCTGAGTGTCATTTTCCCTAAGGGCTTGTTCCTGCTTTTGGGGTCCTTCTCCGTGCGTAACCAGGCAGATGGCCTCACAAGTGAAGTGGGGCTGGGCTTGACACCATCCTCGGGCCTGAACAAGAGGCCTCGCCCAGGCCCCGGGCACTAGAGGGCCCCATTCTGCCCCTCCTCTAGCCATGCCTCTCCTCACAGGATGTGGAGCCTGTGTGAGCAAAGGGATGTGCCCACTGGAGACTAACCCCCAATTTCAACAATGGTTTGGATATCCGGGACCCCACACCTCCCACCCAAATGTCCCAAAGCCCGCTTCCTGAGCCTGGTGGGCCTTCCCTGGGTCTGTCCTCCTGAGGGTGACATACTGTAGGATAAGCACCCCAGTCCTGAGAGGTGCTGGGGGCAGCGGTTCATGGGGGTATAAAAGCAGTCTGAGCAAGTGCCCTGGGGCAGCCACAAGCGTGTGAGGCCTTGGTGCTGTTCGGCAGCCTGGGGAGAGGGAGTGAAGGGGTTGACCCCCACGGGCCCAGTATGGCTCTCTCTACACCTGCACATCTAGGGTGGAACCCCCAGGGGCCTGAGAACGTTAACATCAGACCTGGTCTCCCAGGTTGTCATACAGGTGTATTTGTCAAGGTAGCAAATAGAATATATATTATTGACCAGTTAGCTGGCTTACCACTTTAAATATTTAGGAAAATGGGCCTCCACTAGTGGGGGCCTCCCTCCCTGGGCCCCTCAAATATTAGGGACAGCCTGGATTGCCTACGCTGCGCGGACAATGTGCTTGGCACATCATCAGCAGGGAAGAAGCCCACCTCCAGCAGGTAACACGCTCCAGCTTCTGTTTCCACTGGTGGGAGTGGAGGAGCCGGGGGGCCTCAGCTGATTCCACTGAGGGGCAAGCAGAGTCCTCACTGGGTGCCATGTCCCACTGGGGACCGGCACGGTGCTCACCCACCCATGGGGACCATTTCATCCCGCTGTGTGAGAGGACAGGCTCAGCCCCTGAGGGCGTTCAGTGCTGCTCTGGAGAAAATCGGGGCCCCTGTCAGGAGGTGTGGCTGGGGGAGGTGGCAGGGGCCTCCCAGCTGGGTTTACGGGGCTCTGTCCCCTTCCCACACTATCTCACTTACTCCTCACAACCACCCGGCGAGGGGTTACTCTCATCATCCCCATTTCCAGGTGGAGGCAGCTGGCCTGGGTCACGCTGGGTCAGCACATGCACCCCCATCTTCCGACTGTTGGACCTGGGCCCCCTCCGTTGTCAGCAGGAGGTCAAGAGCAAGTGCCAAGAGCATGGTCAGAGGCTGGGGGTGTGGGAGAGCTGGGAGCATCTGGGAGAGGTCTCTGCCATTCCCGACTCCACCCCTGGGACCTTCAGTGCTCAGCACAGGGTGTGGCACAGAGGGAATTTCCCTTGAGACGTGTGGCTGGTAAAGGGACGACACAGCTATAGGGACAGGGCGGGAGACTCCCCCAGGGTCCCCTCAGCCTGGACCCTCCAGCTTCCTAAGCTTTCTTCAGTCACTGCCTTCCCTACACTGTTCCCTCTGCCTTCCAGCATTCAGAGCCTTCTCTCAATCTCCCAGAATGAATCAGCACCCCCCCCCCCAATTCAGGGCCTTTACCCTTGACCTTATCACTTCCTGGTCCCTTGGCTCTTCCTCACGTTCTCAGGCAGGTCAAGTTCATATTACTGTGTCTCCTTCAGGGCACTCAAGCCCTCTGTCACATGGCACTTGCCCCAGCCTAGATGAATTATGATGTGGGCAGTGATTTGTTCGATGCGTCTCTGCCGGACTGGCTGCGAACTCCATGAGGACAGCCTCCGGGGCCTGGTCACCTGTCTCTCCAGCATCGTAACCCGTGTGCAAGAACCAAGGAGTGGGTGGCTGAGTAGGGAACCAGTGCAGGGGACGGCAGCGGAGCCGGGTCTGCAGCTGCAGCCTGGAGCTTCCCTCAGCACCCCCCCCATCCCTCCCGCCTTCTCTGGTCCCCAGACTCACCCTGGCACTTCTTCCACACCCCTGTCCCCTGAGTGCGCCCCTCACTGGAGCCCTTCTCATTGTGCTTCGTAAGTGGTCTGTGCCTCCACCCGCCTTCCCATCCCGACCAGGGACTCTGGGCTGGGGTTTCTCCAGGGCCCCAGGGCCCACCCCGGGGCAGGACCAGGATGGGGACTTGGAAGGTTTGTTGAATGAATTACACTCAAGAGAAGGAAAGCACCTGGCTGTACTCAGGTGCAAAGTAGCTGGCCCTTCACTCTGCAGACTAGCTGCTGATCACCCCCCAATACACACACACATGCACATGCACACACACCAGCCCTCGGCACAGCTTTGGCTATAGCCTTCAGAGGTCCCATGTGTGATACAGGAAACGACAGGGCACCCTGGAGCTCAGAATCTGGGAGTGAGCCTTTTGGGACCAGAGCGACAGTGAGGCCGGTCCCCGCCTCCCCTGCAAGGAGAAGCAGGCGGGGGTGGCACACCCGAGACTGCTGGCCAGTGGTCCGGCTTCCAACACGGCTGTGGGGTTGGCTGGTGCCTGAGGGGCACTGGTGGGGTGAGGGTGTCAGCGCATCCATTTCCCCCTGAGGCCTGACATCTTAAAATTCATGGGATCGCAGCATCACAGGCTGCAGGGACTCCCCAGGGCACTTCGTGATAACCGGCCGAGGCGGGAACAGGATTTGTCATCCTGTGTGTTTGCCACCGTTTTCACACACGAGAATTTTATCTCTACCCACTCAGCTTCTCCCCTTCCCTCGCCCTCTAAACGAGAATATTATCTTTGCACGATGGTTTCTGATGTGTGTGTGCGCCTGTGCGTGATGCCCAGCCAAGGGAATGTGCCATGGAGAGAAAAACAAAGGAGAAACCAGAAGACCAAGGTGGTCGTTCCACACACAATGAGCCAGGGAGGTGAGGAAGGAAGGACGCAGGGAGAGCCGTGTGGCAAACTTGCCGTCCGGAGAGACTCTGGAGCGGGGCCGAGAGAGGCCCCGCAGTCTCCGATGGGAGGGAGGGGGCCTTGGCAACCTGTTCTGGGGGTAGGAATTGCATCCCCTTTCACTGCCTTCAGGAAATGAACGTAAAGTGGGAATTCCTTTTTCAAGTGACTGTGGTCACTGGACTGTTTCTTTGGATACACACTGAGTGGAGACTCAGCCTCATGGATCCCGTGATAATCGGGTCAGTCCGACATGAAGGATGCAGACATCGGGGCTTCTCGAGGGCCAAGGTGAGCTTGTAGGTGTTGTGCCAGTACCCAGGGCCGAGCCCGTGCAGGGGGAACACTTACTAAATAATTGCTGAACAAATGGAGAAAGAGGAATAAGAGTCTTTTTTTTTGTAATTTATTTTAAGATTTTTTTTTGAGAGAGGGAAAGGAAGGGAGAAAGGAAGCTAGAGAAACGTCAATTGATTGCCTCTTGTAAGTGCCCCAACCAAGGACCCAACCTGCAACCCAAACATGGGCCCTGTCCGGGAATTGAACCGGACACCCCTCAGTTCACAGGCTGGTGCTCAATTCACTGAGCCACACACACCAGGGCAGGAACGCAAGTATTTACTTTCAGGAGTTCATTTTATGGTCAGTTAGCAGAACAAAAGTAATGAATAAAAGACTGTCTGAGGTAGGAGTCACCGAGTTGAAACCTATCAAATGCTTTATTGAAGGTCAGGTACAGTGTGGTCAGCGGGTGTCACTTCTGGCATCACACGGATGAGGAAATAGACTCAAAGAGGGAAGAGACTTGCCCGAGGTCACACAGCCAGGCAGCCAGGAGCTGGGGGCAAACCCCACCTGCCTCGCCCTCCCACCACGCTCTTTCCACGCACTCAGAGCAGGGGAGGGGCAGGCGATGTGTAGCTGTGTAGCATCAGGGCAGGAGTTGGGGAAAGGTCGCAGGGTGAAGGGAGCGGAGGCTTCTGATGGGCACAGCTGATAGGACAGGGGCTGCAGGGCGGGAGGGGCATTCCAGGAGGAAGGAAGAGCTGGGAAGTGGGGAAGCCCAGAGCTTCTCGGGGGAATGGAGAGAAGTGATGTTCGGTAGGATCAGCAAGGGAAAATATGAGAAGGAACCGCCCCCCCAAACGGAATTATCTCCTGGAGGGCGGACCCCCCCCAGTGCGGCTCCCCCTGCTAGGTGAGTGTTCCAGGAAGCCATCTCCGTCAGCATTGGCCGACCGGCTGGCGTGGTTGTGTTCTATGTCGGCAAACTTTTCTTTGAAGACTCCTTCAAGGCATTTGCCCTTTTCGTGGTGGGTGGTTTGCAAGCACACCTGCCCACACTGCGCTGAGTGTTCAGCAGCTTTGACCAAAAGAAAAGCCTGCCCCCCATGCCCCACCCTCCCTATTCACCCTATCTCATCCCAATCAACCTTTGTTTGCTTGTTTACCCAGAGGAAAAAGGTCCTCAATGGGAAAGGTTTTGCCCACGTGGAAGAGGTAAAACAAAAAACGGCAGAAGTACTGAAACGCATCAAAATCAACGAGTTCAAAAACTGTTGTGAGCTATGGAAAAAGTGTCTCAGTAGGTGTATTGCATCAAATGGGGAGAACTTTGCAGATGACAGATGTTTAAACATGTAAGAATAAATACACCATTTTTATAAATAAATTCCAGGGTTGTTTTTTTTTTAGGTCCCCCCTCATATAACAGGACGGGCAGGGTGGGGCTGGACCAGGAGGTCCCTCCAAGGTCACAGCTTCTCGCAGCTCCTCAGCTCACTAGAGTCAAAGGTGTGGGCTCAGTTTGAATACAAATGCGTAGACCCGTTTTTCCAGCCCCTGGACTCTAGCTACTTCCCCTGCTCTGTAAGGAGCTGACTTCCAGCCCGCCCTTAGGGCCCTGGCCTGTCCTCTAGGCCCAGAATCTGCACATCTAAGCTTAACAGGCCCTTCGGACTCCGTCTGCCTGGCCCTGAGCCCCTCACCAGCTTGCCCAGGTCCTGTGCTTTAGACGTAGGGACTGGAATGGGCCCAGGGGATGAGGTGGGGGAGAGGAGGGGGGGGTGAAGCACACAGAAGCCAGGACAGGCCACAGGCAGAGGGAGAAGGGCTGGTGCTGCCTAGAGCTTCCAAAAGTCCTGCTACCACGTGAAGCCTACCATGCAGTTGGGGATCAACATATATTTATTGAATAAATAAATATCATCCATTTATTAAGCACCTACTACGTGCAGGCCCTGTCCTGGGCTCTGGGGATGCAGCACTGAGCAGCACAGATTTCCCACCGTGGGAAGGGGCACAGGCTGTGGGCAGAGCAGGCAGACAGTCCAGCGTGGGGCAGTGGGGGGCTGCCCGGAGGAAGAGGCGCTTCAGCCAGGAGGGTGAGCGGGGCAGGGGTGTGGGGCGGGCCACAGGAGGGGAACAGGCTCCTGCTGGAGCCACCAGCCGTGCAAAGGCAGGAAAGACAAAGGAGGTAACAGGGTCCAGCAGAGTCGTGGTCAATGAGACGTCCAGGAATGGAGCTGCCCTAAGGTTGTGCATGATCAGAGCTATGTTACCCAGCAGGAAGCCAAGGCTCGGAGAGGCCAACGGGCTGTCCAGGTCACCAGGAGCAGGCGGCGGGGTGGCTGGGCGGGAAGCCCACTGCCCCCACCCCCTGGCTGGCCTCCTTGGCCTCGGGACCTTCTCTGCCTCCTGGTCCACCCCAGCCTCTGTCCAGCTGATCATTTCCCTCTTTCCCAGCAATTCCTCTTTCACCTTCCACCTCGGTGGCTGAGACCATTTCTCAATGTCCAGCCAAAGGAATGATACTTATTGGATGTGATGTAAGTAACAAAACACTTGGTATTCCAGCTGGTGGGCCCGGCTCTCCGGGAATAGCGAGGCTGGCTGCAGACACATGATCAATCTCGCTGCCTTCCCAAAATGAGACCTCAGAGGGGCGGACAAAGGGCTTCGGGGCCAGGCGGCCCTGGGCGTGGATCTGCGATTTCCAAGCTGCGGGTCGCTGTGAGAACTGAAGACACTGGGTGCAAGCTGTCACATCTCATGGTGGTTCTGTGCAAAGGAAAAGAAATTAGCACACCTGCCCAAGTTCTCCGGGCTCAGGACAGGCCCTGCCCATCCCCTTAGCCCTGGACCTGCATGTGGAGACAGAAAATAAATGGAGATGCTGGGTAGAAGCTCAGGTTCAAGCTCTTGCCCTGCACCCCTGAGGAGCTGCTCCCCCCTCAGGCCTCACCCCCGTTATCTGTGCAATGGGCTGTTTGTCCTATTGTCCTGGGCTTGGTGGGTTGTAGACACATAAAAGTTTGCCTGGGCTCCTCATAAGACCAGCACCGTGCCCGCCATGCTTCTGTGACTGCTGTCATTCTTGTCATTTCCCTCCCCCAACACCCTGCCCCGTCCCCTCTGTGGGTCTCTCAGAGCCAGGAGCTCACCCTCAGGGAGCTGGTCACTGCTCTCATATCCCTCCCGGTTCTGGACCCTGAGTCTCTTCGATAGGTTCAGTCCACCTTTTCCAGCCCGAGGCTCATTCTTTTCTACTTGTTATGCATTCTGGAGCAGCAGTTACCTTGGACATCATCTGGTCCAATCCCTCCGCTGTCAGATGGGGAAGCTGTCCAGGAGGTCCCTGGGATTCGAGCCGGGGAAGCCCCGTGCTAGGCAGGGCTCTCTGCCCCTCCAGGCAGCCCCCTTTCATATGCCCCCCACTGAGGTCGCCCCTGTGGAGCTCCACACTGAGCTGCACCAGATCAGGAGAGAGCAGGGCGCCGTAGACCGTCTCCACTTCTCCACCTGCAGAGAAGGCACCACAGCCCCGCCTTCAGGTGCGGGGGTGCGGGGGAGATTGCTTGGATGAAATATTATTCAACCATAAAGAAGGAAATCCTGCCCTTTGCAAAAATATGGATGGACCTCGAGGGCATTACACTAAATGAAGTGAGTCAGACACAGAAAGATCAGTGCTGTACGTTCTCTCCTATATGTGGGATCTAAAGTTCAAAAACAAAGTCAAAGGAACAGAGAGTAGAATGGGGGTTCCAGGGGGTGGCGGGGCAGCAATGGGGAGATGTCGGTCAGAGGGCACAAGCGTCCAGCTATCAGATGCGAGGGTCCTGGGGACCCGACACACGGCGTGGTGACCGTACAGGGAGCGGTGCTGTGCCACGTGCTCGAGAGGTGCTCGGAGACTAGATCTGCAATGTTCCTACCACACACACACACACACAGTTGTAGCTGTGTGAGGGGACGGGTGTGAGCCTTGTTGTGGTAATCACTTCACAATATATACATGTGTCAAATTAACACATCGCACGCCTTAAACTTACACGATGTTACAGACAAATCACATCCCAATAAATCTGGGAGGGAAAAGTCAAGAGGCTTCTCATCCAGATGAGAAGCACAGTGGGCGGGGGATGTTCAAGTTCAAGTCCAGGTGAGAGATGTCAATTTGGGGGTCATGAGCGTGTACGTGGCATTTCCATGGGACCGGATGTTCTCCCCTTGGGGAGAATGTCCGTAGAGAGGAGAAGAGGATGGAGGCCGGAGCCCTCCGTTACTGAGAGGCTGGGAAGAAGGGAAGCGTCCTGCCAGGGAGGCAAAGAAGGACCAGACAGAGAGGCCAGAGGGAAAGCAGGAGAGCCACGCCCTGAACACAGGTGTGATGGGGCGGGCACACACCAGATTTTGCCATACGAGGACCCTGTTTATCAGATTCGGAACTAAGTCTGAGATCCCATCTTCCTCGGTCTCTGACTACAGCAGAGATCTGTAAGACCTTGCTCCTTAGAGTCACATGGACCTGAATCCCAACCCCGGCACTGCCCCTTACGAGCCATGTGACCTCAGGCAAGTCAGGTCCCCTTGCAGGCCTCCTGACTGGGAACACGGAGATCATCACCACTTTGCCTCATCTCACAGGCCTCCAAAGCCCCGTCACCCACCCCACGCCAGGCCCAGTGGAGCAGGGCTCCGGGAGGCCTTGCGGGCTGGCACAGCCGGGGCCCACTCCCGGTCCTGCCCACGGCCCCCACCCTCACTGGTGACAGTGCCCATGGTCCAGCAGCCCAGCTCTGCAGCTTCTCAGCCGTTCCATTCCAGGCACTGCTTCCTTTCCGGAGTTGGGTTCTTCTCCGACTGCGGCTTGTTTCAGGCAGAACCTTCTATGGCGAGGGGCAGGGCACAGAGAGTTAAAGCAGGAGGTGTAGTGATTTATTGGCCCACGTAACTGAAAATACAGGGCATGGGATTGGCCTCGGCGTTGACTAGAGGCAGGGGCTCAAGCCGTCCCCGGGGGCCCTGTCTCCTCCCTCCCTCCCCTGAGCTCCGCTTCCCTCCCGTGAACGTCATTCTCAGGCAGGCCTGCTCCTCACCGTGCGAAGCTGGCACCAATGACTCCGGGCTTAGAAGGTCCTTATGGCTTGTGATCCCACTGAAGGGGACCTGTCTCCATCCCAGTGTCCACACATCGGATCACAGGGGCCTGTTAATGAAAGAGAAGGGAAGGGTGTGGACAAACCCAACAGCAGATCTCTAGAGGACTGATGCGCCCTTCGCTTCCTGGGGCCCTGGAAAAATAAGGGTCTGTCTCCCTGATGTGACTGCAGCCCCTGCTCAACCCAGGAAGGTAAGTGTGAGGTCCATGGGGTCAGCAAAGGTGGGCAGGGCTCCAACGAAGGGCTCAGAGGATAGAGTGGAAAATTTTGGAAGACAGGCGTGTGCTCCTGATCTCTCTCCGATTGGAAGCCAGAAGAGAGAGGAAGGCTGAACGGACTGGAGGCCAGGGTCTGACCTCTCGGCCCCAGGGCCCCCAAAAGAGATAACACTCCAGGCATTGTCCTGGGCTCCGGGCCTGGCCAGGCTGCCTCCTGTAGCTGGGAACAGAATGAATAAACAACAGGAAGGAGGGTGCCTAAGAATAACCTAGGATTGGGGAGGAAAGTATTTATCACGTAAGCAAATCACAAGAGAACACAATCGGCAACAACCTCCAGTCAGCTGAATCTGTGTATTTGGCTAATCACATGTCTAGCACTGCTGTGAGCTCCTATTAAGAAACAGGTGGCTGGCACTGGGGGGCCTCCTGGGGTCTCCCCACCCATTGCAGCAGGGTGCACATCCTACCCAGCACACTGAGGACACCATGGCCTCCCATTTGTGGGAGTCTTTCGAGGCGTGCAGGGGGACTCCTGTCTGATACTTCGGTGAGGTGTTAATACACTGGCGTCACCAGGCCCCTGATGATGTCAAAATGTTATGAACTTCCTGGGAGAAGTAATGAGTGGAACTGACTGAAATGAAATACAAGCCTGACTGGAGTGGTGGGCTGCTGAGTGTGAAGCCATGGTGACAGCCTCCCTGTTGACTTCCCACTGGCCAAAGGGGACAGGGCAGTTGAGGGAGAAGGGCATCTGTCAGGCGCTTGTGGGGACCCCAGCCCAATTCAAGAGACAGAGGACCTTCAACTTTGTTCATTCATTCCCTTCCTCATTCCATATACTCGCCCAGCCCCGATTTCAGTGTGAACACCACAGCATGACCCCTGTCCTCAGAGAGTGTGTGGTCCAGGGGCACAGGGGGACCTACATACATAAACAAATGAATATAATTTAAAACTGGGGTGCTTATCGTGAACTGAGAGGATGAAACAGCATGAAGGAAGAAGAAAATGAGGGCTTGACTTGGGGGGTCAAGAAGGGCCTCCCTGAAGGAACAATTGAACTGAGACTAGAAAGAGTAAGAGTCAGTTAGGCAGCAAGGAAGTGGAAGAGCTTTCCTAGTAGAAAAAAAAACCTGCCCATGCAAAGGCCCTGAGGTTGGAAGGAGCTTGGAGCATCCCAGGAACAGAGGCCGCCAGCATGGCTGGAAGGAGGCTGGAAACCCAACAAGGACTCGCCCAAGGCTGATGGGCAACAGGAAGTGCCCAGGAGACCAAGGCTGAGGCCGGCGAGTGGTTAGAGTTGACACTCTCTGGAGTCCCTGGACATGGGTTCAAATATCATCTCCCACTCACTGGCTGGGGGCCTGGGTCAGGGGCCCAACTACTGGGGCCTCAGCCACCTCACCTGGAAAACGGGGCTGTCCTCGCGCCGCCTCCCTGGTGGGCGTGTTGTGAGGACTATCCGTGGTGGCCGAGTGTCCGGCACCCTCATTTCACACTCAGTAAATGATGAGTGTGGTTCTGGAATCGGGACTTCCCAGCCTGGCAGAGGGCTCTGTGTGACCACGACCACCCACCTGGGGCCCGGCCCCCGGCAGGAGCTGCTCAGTGAACTGGCGGAAAGAAAGAGCGTCCGGTGCGGCAGCGGGACACTGCCTGGGGACAGCTAGTCTCCGCTGCTGGGGAGCAGCCCCCCGAGCCCCCTCCCTTGAGTTTCCCTTCTCCCACTTGGCTCCCGGCCAGATCCCCTGTCGTGTCTGCACAGGGGTAACGATGACAATAATTACAACAATCCCAGTCTCAGCCCCCTCCTTTCAGCAGAGCTCCACTGGCACCGGCTGCACCCCATTCACATCCCCAGAGAAAGGGGTGCTGAAGGCGGGCTCAGGGCAGGAAATCCAGCACCGACACACCACGTGACTCTGGGCAGGTCCTTTTTCCTTCAGTTTCTCCATCTGCACAACACAGGTATTGAACTGAACACTTACAGAGGTGGGAAGAGTTCATCACTTTGAACTGCTAAGTTCTGAGCACGTTCAGTGTGCGTGTGTGTGTGTGTGTGCACGCACGCACGCGTCTGCCTTTCTGACTTTATCCCCTCTCCTCTCTCCATCTCATAAAGCAACAGTCCCAGTGGCCTCTTGCCAGTGCTGCTCAAACAAGCTCTGCTGATTCTGGCCTCAGGGCCTTTGCACTTGCTGTTTCCACTTCTTCTGCTTTTCTGGGGTGTAGCCAGGCAGGTCCCTCTCTTTCATTCAAGGCTCAGCGCAGACCTCCCCTAGAGTACCACCCACCACAGTCTATTACCCTTTCACCCCAAGAATTTACCCTTTCCAAGTTTCATCACTGAAGCAGCTCTAACCCACAGCCCCTCAGATGTAAATGTGTTTGCAGATGGTGCCTCTACAGCAGTGAGTAAGATAAAACGAGACCATTAAGAGGGCCTGAATCCAACCTGCCAGCTGTCTTTATACGAAAAGGAGATGAGAATACACAGGGAGACACCAGGGCTATGTGTGCACAGAGGAGAGACCATGTGACGACACAGCGAGAAGGTGGCCATCGGCAAGCCAAGGAGAAAGTCCTCGAAGAAACCAAATGTGCTGACACCTTAACCTTGGACTTCTAGCCTCCCAAACCGTGAAAAAATAGATTTCTGTCCCTTGAGCCACCCAGTTTGTTGCATTTTGCAGAGGCGCCCAGAGCAGACTAGCAGGTCCCCAAGCCCTGCTTTGTTTTTCTGTCAGCACTTACCAGCCCCGACCTTATTTGCAGATGCACTTGTTTATTGTTTTGCCTCCTCCCCACCTCACACACTGCAGCAGGAGCTCCGTGAGGACAGGGACTTTGCTGGTTCTGTTCTTTGTACCCTCAGCCCTCAGGCCAGCGCCTGGTGCAGAGCAGGCAGGCCTCAGTAGATGGCGAGGCCAGAGCCAGGATCTCTGGGTTCACATTACAGCCCCCTCACTCCCTCATGGTGTGACCTTGGACGGGATTCTTGACATCTCTGAGCCCAGTATATTTCCTCTATGAAATGAACAGAATAGTCATGCCAAACTTAGAAGCAGGTACAAAGCTACGGTAGATAAATGCAGGCAAATTGCATAGCACAGGGCCTGGCATCTAGTGTATGCTCCAGAAATAGGAGTTACAGTTGTTGCTGTTGTTGTAACAGTAGTAAGTACACTCGCTCACTCATTCCTTCTTTCCTTCCTCCCTTCCTTCATTCATTCACTTATTCCCTCTGCAACACACACTGACACCTCTTCTGCTGACAGACTCTGGGGACATCAAAAGTCAGACTTGGTTTCTGACCTCGAGATGCTCGTGGTTCAGTGGGGGAGACAGGCCAGGGAACCAGTACTGACGGGCTGTGTGCAGAGACAGAAAGAGGTTCCGTGGGAGGGCTTCCCAGAGAAGTGGGTGTTGGGGCTGGGTCTTGAAGAGTGAGTAAGAGCTCACCAGGCTGAAAGGGAGGAAAAAGCATTCCCTCAGAGGGACAGGCAGGTTTCCAAGCAGGGGCAGGCACTTGCCCGGTGTGGACCTGCTAATGTCCGTGCCTCTATGCACTGGTGCAGAGCTAAGGAGTTTGGGCTGTGATCTGAGGACACATGGAGCCTGGGAAGGGCTTTCAGCAGGGAGGGACCCCATCAGCTTTATGCTGGGGAGGAAGACTAGCCCTGGGGCACCGTGGAGCAGGGGCTGGAGGGCAGAAAGGCTGTCAGCACAGAGAGCTGGGCACAAGGAGACCGGAGAGGGGCTCCCAGGTCATCTCAGGAGATGCATCCCAGTCAAGGGGCTTGGCATAGAAATGTCTGAGCTGCAGAGTGAGTCCCCACCCACCCACCAGGCAGACAGGAAGGACTCGGTGACAGTGGGGACAGAGAGCTAAAGAGGGTCAATCAGGGCATCATCTTTACAGTTCACAGGGAGGTCAGGAAGGAACACTCTGTCAGCCAGAACCAGGCAGGAACACTGGCAAGGCCAGAGAAGCTTCCTCCCCCACCAAAAACAAAGGAAAACACATTGATTTTCATGACACATTCATATTTTCTCAAGAGGCCATGTGATTGTTTTTGCACTGGAAAGCTATGAATGGAAAATTCCACCTGCCTCCTCCAGACACTGCACAAGAGTGAAGCATCTGTCCCAGTTCCAGGGGCCCAGAGCTCCACCGTGGGAGCTCAATCCCGTGACTTGAGACTCTGTTTCCCGTTAAAATGCTGACATCTTCACAGAAGTACATCTTCTGCACAGACTTATTTTCATTAATTCAACAAATATTTACTGGCTTTTAGTTCGCAGACCTAGGAGCTGGGAATACAGAGATTAATTATGACTTGTCCACGTTCACACCTTCATTTAAAAATGATTAAAGAAGCGAGACTGAGACCAAAAGAGTTGAGAGTCAGTTGGGCTGAAAGGAAGGGCAAGAGCTTTCCCCTTCCTCTTAGGTGATACACACAAACTTATTTAACACTCCATGAAGCAGGGAGTTCCCATGGGTTCCGGGAACTGCAAAATGGGGCAGAGGGGAGGAAGCTTCTATAGAAGAAAAAATGAGGAACAAGAAAGACAAAAACAGAAAATAAAGAACAAGGAAGTAAGCATAGAGCTCAGAGCTGGTTTCGAATTTAAGGGTTGGCTGATTACATATATTGCATTTCTTGTCAAGTGGAGCATTTACAAAGAAAGTTATCTGAGTTTTAGTTTGCTGATGTGGCACCCTGGCAAGAGCAGCTCCATCTTGAGCCTAGAAATTTATTTCAGTGCCTTCAAGATACTGGCCAGCTCTGTGTGTGTGTAGGGAGTGGGTCAGGGGGACAACGGGAACTCTGACCAAACCGTACAGCAAATGGTGGTGGGAGCAAGGTGCTATGGGAGACGCCAGCAAAGGTGACTCATCTCATAGCTGCAAAAGGCAAAGCTTGAGATGAAGCTTGGAGAATGGAAGGGAGTGCAGGACGAGGTAGAGAATTCCAGACAGAGGGCACAGCCAGGGAACACAAAGGGAGCCATGAGCTAGGATGCTGGGGGACAAAGGACTTCATGCCACCCAGAAGTCTTGGGCATAAGACAGGACATGGGGATGGGGCTGGAACTTCAGG